ATAACAACAACACATCGTCCAATGGCCCGGAAGCAGTTCAAATGGCTGATGCTGCCGAAATAGCCGACGAGAAGCACCTGTTGACTCCAGCCACTGTTGATGGCCGGAACCTGAGTGGTTATCTGGTCTCGTTATCCGAGAATGTCGTCTACGTTGTAAGCATCGTCTGTACCTGGTGCACTACCGCTCTGGTTGCTTTTATGGACAAACTTTTTTGACGGCACATTTCAGCCTTTACACTCAGCTCTGGGACTGTCTTCAAGACAAGATTCCCTTCCAGGATTGCCTTCTTAACATCCCAATCAGCTGCCGTTTCTTTGTGCAGCGGATGCAGCTGGAGCCCTTCCCGAATAGCTGCATCACGTTCTGGGCAGATTCTTGCTTTGCTTGTCTTTTCCTCTTTTTTTTGGAGCGAAATCTGGAATGTTCCGGTTAGTTATGTAACGAATTCTAGCTTCGTTGGAGCTACTTCAGGAATTGGTCACAAGCTTCCTGTTTCTCTTCCGCTTCCGTCTCCGACGAATTTTTCTGCACCAGGTGACACTTAGATTAAACAATACTTAAGCGTTTCAAAGCCTTTCCAAAATACCTTATCCACCCAGCTAGCATACATTACAGCGGGCAAGTGTAGCAGCTGGGCAGAAAAGTTTCGCCCTTGGAAGAAATATACACAATCAGTGGGGAATCATTTTTACGCCATTTTTTAGCTGAACGTACCAGCAGTAAGCAGCCCGTGTTTCATCTTCTGACCGAAAACACAGGCAGGGTAATGGGTGCAGGCAGAAATGGGGAGTCCATCAGTACAGCCTTCTATCCGTCCTATAGCGAATAAGCTTATTTGTTGGAAAATGACCGTCCCGCAATCGTAACTGATTTTGCAAAATTTCTCCTATTTGTTACCACAGCGAGTGTCTTGCACGCAAAGCAGATTTGGGGTGATGCGTTTTTATGCGTCTTTGCGTATAATATGCAAATACAAAAACGCATACTTTCGATATGTCGTCCGCG